GATACACAGAGACTCATAGAGATACACAGAGAGACTCATAGAGATACATAGAGAGACTCATAGAGATACATAGAGAGACTCAAAGAGATACACAGAGAGACTCATAGAGATACATAGAGATACACAGAGAGACTCATAGAGATACATAGAGACTCATAGAGATACACAGAGAGACTCATAGAGATACACAGAAAGGCTCATAGAGATACTTAGAGACTCCTTGAAAAGTGGGCTGGGTTTCTACCAAATTCTCACCCAGCCGGCTCAACGAAACTTAACAAACTAACGAGCAAGTGTTTAGACGTCTGCTACAGGTTGCTTAGATGGTGGGGTAGCGTGTAAAGGTGGGAGTGGAGGTGGGGTAGGCCGTAAAGGTGGGAGTGGAGGTGGGGTAGGGTGTAAAGGTGGGAGTGGAGGTGGGGTAGGGTGTAGAGGTGGGAGTGGAGGTGGGGTAGGGTGTAGAGGTGGGGAGTGGAGGTGGGGTAGGGTGTAAAGGTGGGAGTGGAGGTGGGGTAGGGTGTAAAGGTGGGGAGTGGAGGTGGGGTAGGGTGTAAAGGTGGGAGTGGAGGTGGGGTAGGGTGTAGAGGTGGGAGTGGAGGTGGGGTAGGGTGTAGAGGTGGGAGTGGAGGTGGGGTAGGGTGTAGAGGTGGGAGTGGAGGTGGGGTAGGGTGTAAAGGTGGGAGTGGAGGTGGGGTAGGGTGTAGAGGTGGGAGTGGAGGTGGGGTAGGGTGTAAAGGTGGGAGTGGAGGTGGGGTAGGGTGTAGAGGTGGGAGTGGAGGTGGGGTAGGGTGTAAAGGTGGGAGTGGAGGTGGGGTAGGGTGTAAAGGTGGGAGTGGAGGTGGGGTAGGGTGTAAAGGTGGGAGTGGAGGTGGGGTAGGGTGTAGAGGTGGGAGTGGAGGTGGGGTAGGGTGTAGAGGTGGGAGTGGAGGTGGGGTAGGGTGTAGAGGTGGGAGTGGAGGTGGGGTAGGGTGTAAAGGTGGGAGTGGAGGTGGGGTAGGGTGTAGAGGTGGGAGTGGAGGTGGGGTAGGGTGTAGAGGTGGGAGTGGAGGTGGGGTATGGTGTAAAGGTGGGAGTGGAGGTGGGGTAGGGTGTCGAGGTGGGAGTGGAGGTGGGGTAGGGTGTAGAGGTGGGAGTGGAGGTGGGGTAGGGTGTAGAGGTGGGAGTGGAGGTGGGGTAGGGTGTAGAGGTGGGAGTGAAGGTGGGGTAGGGTGTAAAGGTGGGAGTGGAGGTGTGGTAGGGTGTAGAGGTGGGAGTGGAGGTGTGGTAGGGTGTAGAGGTGGGAGTGGAGGTGGGGTAGGGTGTAAGGGTGGGAGTGAAGGTAGGGTAGGGTGTAGAGGTGGGAGTGAAGGTGGGGTAGGGTGTAGAGGTGGTAGAGGAGGTGGGGTAGGGTGTACAGGTGGGAGTGGAGGTGGGGTAGGGTGTAAAGGTGGGGAGTGGAGGTGGGGTAGGGTGTAGAGGTGGGAGTGGAGGTGGGGTAGGGTGTAGAGGTGGGAGTGGAGATGGGGTAGGGTGTAGAGGTGGGGAGTGGACGTGGGGTAGGGTGTAGAGGTGGGAGTGGAGGTGGGGTAGGGTGTAGAGGTGGGAGTGGAGGTGGGGTAGGGTGTAGAGGTGGGAGTGGAGGTGGGGTAGGGTGTAGAGGTGGGAGTGGAGGTGGGGTAGGGTGTAGAGGTGGGGAGTGGAGGTGGGGTAGGGTGTAAAGGTGGGAGTGGAGGTGGGGTAGGGTGTAAAGGTGGGGAGTGGAGGTGGGGTAGGGTGTAAAGGTGGGAGTGGAGGTGGGGTAGGGTGTAGAGGTGGGAGTGGAGGTGGGGTAGGGTGTAGAGGTGGGAGTGGAGGTGGGGTAGGGTGTAGAGGTGGGAGTGGAGGTGGGGTAGGGTGTAAAGGTGGGAGTGGAGGTGGGGTAGGGTGTAGAGGTGGGAGTGGAGGTGGGGTAGGGTGTAAAGGTGGGAGTGGAGGTGGGGTAGGGTGTAGAGGTGGGAGTGGAGGTGGGGTAGGGTGTAAAGGTGGGAGTGGAGGTGGGGTAGGGTGTAAAGGTGGGAGTGGAGGTGGGGTAGGGTGTAAAGGTGGGAGTGGAGGTGGGGTAGGGTGTAGAGGTGGGAGTGGAGGTGGGGTAGGGTGTAGAGGTGGGAGTGGAGGTGGGGTAGGGTGTAGAGGTGGGAGTGGAGGTGGGGTAGGGTGTAAAGGTGGGAGTGGAGGTGGGGTAGGGTGTAGAGGTGGGAGTGGAGGTGGGGTAGGGTGTAGAGGTGGGAGTGGAGGTGGGGTATGGTGTAAAGGTGGGAGTGGAGGTGGGGTAGGGTGTCGAGGTGGGAGAGGAGGTGGGGTAGGGTGTAGAGGTGGGAGTGGAGGTGGGGTAGGGTGTAGAGGTGGGAGTGGAGGTGGGGTAGGGTGTAGAGGTGGGAGTGAAGGTGGGGTAGGGTGTAAAGGTGGGAGTGGAGGTGTGGTAGGGTGTAGAGGTGGGAGTGGAGGTGTGGTAGGGTGTAGAGGTGGGAGTGGAGGTGGGGTAGGGTGTAAGGGTGGGAGTGAAGGTAGGGTAGGGTGTAGAGGTGGGAGTGAAGGTGGGGTAGGGTGTAGAGGTGGTAGAGGAGGTGGGGTAGGGTGTACAGGTGGGAGTGGAGGTGGGGTAGGGTGTAAAGGTGGGGAGTGGAGGTAGGGTAGGGTGTAGAGGTGGGAGTGGAGGTGGGGTAGGGTGTAGAGGTGGGAGTGGAGATGGGGTAGGGTGTAGAGGTGGGGAGTGGACGTGGGGTAGGGTGTAGAGGTGGGAGTGGAGGTGGGGTAGGGTGTAGAGGTGGGAGTGGAGGTGGGGTAGGGTGTAGAGGTGGGACTGGAGGTGGGGTAGGGTGTAGAGGTGGGAGTGGAGGTGGGGTAGGGTGTAAAGGTGGGAGTGGAGGTGGGGTAGGGTGTAAAGGTGGGAGTGGAGGTGGGGTAGGGTGTAAAGGTGGGAGTGGAGGTGGGGTAGGGTGTAGAGGTGGGAGTGGAGGTGGGGTAGGGTGTAGAGGTGGGAGTGGAGGTGGGGTAGGGTGTAGAGGTGGGAGTGGAGGTGGGGTAGGGTGTAAAGGTGGGAGTGGAGGTGGGGTAGGGTGTAGAGGTGGGAGTGGAGGTGGGGTAGGGTGTAGAGGTGGGAGTGGAGGTGGGGTAGGGTGTAGAGGTGGGAGTGGAGGTGGGGTATGGTGTAAAGGTGGGAGTGGAGGTGGGGTAGGGTGTCGAGGTGGGAGAGGAGGTGGGGTAGGGTGTAGAGGTGGGAGTGGAGGTGGGGTAGGGTGTAGAGGTGGGAGTGGAGGTGGGGTAGGGTGTAGAGGTGGGAGTGAAGGTGGGGTAGGGTGTAAAGGTGGGAGTGGAGGTGTGGTAGGGTGTAGAGGTGGGACTGGAGGTGGGGTAGGGTGTAGAGGTGGGAGTGGAGGTGGGGTAAGGTGTAAAGGTGGGAGTGGAGGTGGGGTAGGGTGTAGAGGTGGGAGTGGAGGTGGGGTAGGGTGTAGAGGTGGGAGTAGAGGTGGGGTAGAGTGTAGAGGTGGGAGTGGAGGTGGGGTAGGGTGTAGAGGTGGGAGTGGAGGTGGGGTAGGGTGTAGAGGTGGGAGTGGAGGTGTGGTAGGGTGTAGAGGTGGGAGTGGAGGTGGGGTAGGGTGTAGAGGTGGGAGTGGAGGTGGGGTAGGGTGTAGAGGTGGGAGTGAAGGTGGGGTAGGGTGTAGAGGTGGGAGTGGAGGTGGGGTAGGGTGTAAAGGTTGGAGTGGAGGTGGGGTAGGGTGTAGAGGTGGGAGTGGATGTGGGGTAGGGTGTAGAGGTGGGAGTGGAGGTGGGGTAGGGTGTAGAGGTGGGAGTGGAGGTGGGGTAGGGTGTAGAGGTGGGAGTGGAGGTGGGGTAGGGTGTAGAGGTGGGAGTGGAGGTGGGGTAGGGTGTAGAGGTGGGAGTGGAGGTGGGGTATGGTGTAAAGGTGGGAGTGGAGGTGGGGTAGGGTGTCGAGGTGGGAGAGGAGGTGGGGTAGGGTGTAGAGGTGGGACTGGAGGTGGGGTAGGGTGTAGAGGTGGGAGTGGAGGTGGGGTAGGGTGTAGAAGTGGGAGTGGAGGTGGGGTAGGGTGTAGAGGTGGGAGTAGAGGTGGGGTAGAGTGTAGAGGTGGGAGTGGAGGTGGGGTAGGGTGTAGAGGTGGGAGTGGAGGTGGGGTAGGGTGTAGAGGTGGGAGTGGAGGTGTGGTAGGGTGTAGAGGTGGGAGTGAAGGTGGGGTAGGGTGTAGAGGTGGGAGAGGAGGTGGGGTAGGGTGTAGAGGTGGGACTGGAGGTGGGGTAGGGTGTAGAGGTGGGAGTGGAGGTGGGGTAGGGTGTAGAGGTGGGAGTGGAGGTGGGGTAGGGTGTAGAGGTGGGAGTAGAGGTGGGGTAGAGTGTAGAGGTGGGAGTGGAGGTGGGGTAGGGTGTAGAGGTGGGAGTGGAGGTGGGGTAGGGTGTAGAGGTGGGAGTGGAGGTGTGTTAGGGTGTAGAGGTGGGAGTGAAGGTGGGGTAGGGTGTAGAAGTGGGAGTGGAGGTGGGGTAGGGTGTAAAGGTGGGAGTGGAGGTGGGGTAGGGTGTAGAGGTGGGAGTGGAGGTGGGGTAGGGTGTAAGGGTGGGGAGTGAAGGTAGGGTAGGGTGTAGAGGTGGGAGTGAAGGTGGGGTAGGGTGTAGAGGTGGGAGTGGAGGTGGGGTAGGGTGTAGAGGTGGGAGTGGAGGTGGGGTAGGGTGTAAAGGTGGGAGTGGAGGTAGGGTAGGGTGTAGAGGTGGGACTGGAGGTGGGGTAGGGTGTAGAGGTGGGAGTGGAGGTGGGGTAGGGTGTAGAGGTGGGACTGGAGGTGGGGTAGGGTGTAGAGGTGGGAGTGGAGGTGGGGTAGGGTGTAGAGGTGGGAGTGGAGGTGGGGTAGGGTGTAAGGGTGGGAGTGGAGGTGGGGTAGGGTGTAGAGGTGGGAGTGGAGGTGGGGTAGGGTGTAGAGGTGGGAGTGGAGGTGGGGTAGGGTGTAGAGGTGGGAGTGGAGGTGGGGTAGGGTGTAGAGGTGGGAGTGGAGGTGTTGAGGTAAAATAATTCCGCCACCTCTAAGGAAGTTGACTCCCCAGAGCAGCGTTCTGAGAGACCGCGCGTAGCGAGCAGGGGACTCAGGTGGGTGGCGTTCTCCCTCTTCGGTGCACGGACATGGGACGACGATTCCATGACGATGATGATCATAGTGTAGATGCCCAGACACGGGCCCACGGGCCCACGGTTGTGTTGTAGTTGACAGCCTAAATACTCTGTGGGTGTACTGTACTCTGTGGGTTTACTGTACTCTGTGGGTGTACTGTACTCTGTGGGTGTACTGTACTCTGTGGGTGTACTGTACTCTGTTGGTGTACTGTACTCTGTGTATATGTGTACTGTACTCTGTGTGTATGTACTGTACTCTGTGTGTATGTACTGTACTCTGTGTGTATGTGCACTGTACTCTGTATGTGTACTGTACTCTGTGTACTGTACTCTGTGTACGTGTACTGTACTCTGTACTGTACTCTGTGTGTATGTGTACTGTACTCTGTGTGTACCGTACACACTCTGTGTAGTCTGTGTATACTGTGTGTATACTGTGTGGTGTAGTCTGTGTGTACTGTGTGTACACTGTGTATACTGTGTGGTGTAGTCTGTGTGTACTGTGTGGTGTAGTCTGTGTGTACACTGTGTATACTGTGTACACTGTGTATACTGTGTGGTGTAGTCTGTGTGTACTGTGTGTACACTGTGTATACTGTGTGGTGTAGTCTGTGTGTACTGTGTGGTGTAGTCTGTGTGTACACTGTGTATACTGTGTGGTGTAGTCTTGTGTAGTCTGTGTGTACACTGTGTATACTGTGTACACTATGTATACTGTGTGGTGTAGTCTGTATGTACTGTGTGTACACTGTATACTGTGTGGTGTAGTCTGTGTGTACTGTGTGTACACTGTGTATACTGTGTGGTGTAGTCTGTGTGTGTACTGTGTGTACACTGTGTATACTGTGTGGTGTAGTCTGTGTGTACACTGTGTATACTGTGTGATGTAGTCTGTGTGTACTGTGTGGTGTAGTCTGTGTGTACACTGTATACTGTGGTGTAGTCTGTGTACACTGTGTGTACTGTGTGGTGTAGTCTGTGTGTACTGTGTGTACACTGTGTATACTGTGTGGTGTAGTCTGTGTGTACTGTGTGGTGTAGTCTGTGTGTACACTGTATACTGTGGTGTAGTCTGTGTACACTGTGTGTACTGTGTGGTGTAGTCTGTGTGTACACTGTGTGGTGTACTCTGTGTGTACTGTGTGGTGTAGTCTGTGTGTACACTGTGTATAATGTGTGGTGTAGTCTGTGTGTACTGTATGGTGTAGTCTGTGTGTACACTGTGTATACTGTGTGGTGTAGTCTGTGTGTACTGTGTGTACACTGTAGATACTGTGTGGTGTAGTCTGTGTGTACAGTGTATACTGTGTGGTGTAGTCTGTGTGTACTGTGTGGTGTAGTCTGTGTGTACAGTGTGTACACTGGGTATACTGTGTGGTGTAGTCTGTGTAGACTGTGTGTACACTGTGTGTACTGTGTGTACACTGTGTATACTGTGTGGTGTAGTCTGTCTCTGCATTGTGTGCATACTATGTGTACACTGTTTATACTGTGTGGTGTGCTGTGTTTGTGTGTACACTGTTTATACTGTGTGGTGTGCTGTGTTTGTGTGTACACTGTTTATACTGGGTGGTGTGCTGTGTTTGTGTGTACACTGTTTATACTGTGTGGTGTGCTGTGTTTGTGTGTACACTGTCTATACTGGGTTGTGTAATCTGTGTGTACTGACTGTACACTATTTATGTTACATGGTGGACTGTATGAGTGTATATATACTGTGTTTACACTGTATATACTGTGTGTGTACTGACAATGTGTACACTGTGTATACAGCGTGGTGTACTCTGTGTATGTGCTGGCTGAGTGTACTTTGTGTATACTGTGTGGTGTATTGTGTGTGTGGACTAATGTGTGCACACTGCATACTGTGTGGTGTACTCTGTGTGCATTGACTGTGTTTACACTGTGTAGACTGGTTTATTATTGTGTGTGAACTGACTGTAAGTACACTGTATACCAGGGGTCGGGAACCTTTTTGACTAAGAGAGCCATGAAAGCAAAAAAATTGGAAATTTATTTCAGTGAGAGCCATATAATATATTTTAAAAGTGAATTCAACTAAATGTCAGTATAATAAGCCTCTGAATTTATTCTTTTTAATAATGTTGTTATAACACTCACCATTAATGCGACTTCTGGTGCTGCATGGATTTGCTGATGTCTTTGTAGTCGGGTTGGTACTTGGTGAGGTTAAGCTTCATGCAGGCGTTGAGGCTTTCATCCGTTAAACGTGATCGTAGGTTGGACTTGATGTTTTTAAGATGTGAGAATGACTGCTCACATGCATACGTAGATCCAAACATGGTCAATACAGCAATACTCACACGCTGCAGTGTGTGGTATGTGACAGGAAGCGCGTTCCAAGTTTTGAGAATCAGCTGGTCTTCGGGTTGGAGTTTTTTCATTTCTGTCCACATGTGCTTGCTCGCCAACTCCGCTTTCTGTCGTGTGATTCTTTCCAAATCTTCATTCAGTGACTTGAACTTATTCACCCACATGTCTGAGGCCTTCAGGTCAGCCACTTCTGCTTCAAAATCTCTGACGGAGACACCAGGGATGTAATTCAGGTCGGCTGTGTTCAGTGAACACTCGTTTGGATGGGTGATGAACTTAAAAAGACGAGTGTGCTCACGAAATTCTCCAAAGCGTGCTTTGAAGGACTGTAGGAGACTGGATGTGCAGCCAGCTAGCTGGTGGAGATCAAGGTTTTGAATGGGCTCACTTGCTGTGCATGCATCTTTAAATTGGCTCAGTTTTTCAAAATGTAGTAAACGACCTGTTTCAAGATCCGTGATGAAAAGCTCCAGCTTGTTTTCAAAAGCAAATACAGCTTGTTGAAGGGATAACACTGTATTTCCAATGCCTTGCATTTTCACGTTGAGCTGGTTCAGATGTTCAGTCAGATCTACGAGATAGTAAAACTTGAGGAGCCACTCGGTGTCGGCTAGCTCAGGATGCCCGACGCCTTTCATTTCAAGGAAAGTCCGGATTTCGTTCAGGCAAGCCGCAAAACGGCTAAGCACCTTCCCTCTTGACAACCAACGCACATTGCTGTGCAAAAGCAGACCAGGATAGTTATTTACAACTTCATCCAGCAGTGTTTTAAACTGGCGATCATTTAAGGCTCGGGCAACAATAAAGTTGATCACACGAATGACCAGCGACATCACTTCGCCAAACTGCCTGTCACACATCTGAGCACAAAGTGCCTCCTGGTGTATAATGCAATGGAAACTTAGGATGGGTCTATTTTCATGTTCACGGAGAAGCGCCACAAATGCTTTGTTTTTCCCCACCATACACGGAGCACCATCAGTACACACTGAGAGAAGTTTATCCATAGGTAGACTTTTTTCTTGAGCAAACTCCATGAAAGACTTGAATAAATCCTCACCTCTTGTGGACTCTTTTAATGGCAGAACAGCAAGACTTTCTTCGCGCAGTGTGTCACCAACAGCATATCTTGCAATCACGCTGAACTGCGACAAATGGCTCACGTCTGTTGACTCATCCAAAGCCAGAGAAAAGAACGGCGCTGCATTTATGTCCTTCACTTGCGTTTCCTCCACTTTGTTTGCCATCACGATGGTACGATCATGAACAGTTCTTGCCGACAGAGGCATGTCTTGTATCCGTTTGATTATCTTGTCTTTGTTCGGAAGATCATCAAAAAGTTCATTGGCTACATTCAGCATGAACGTTTTAGCATACTCGCCATCTGTGAATGGTTTTCTGTTCCTCACTATTGCTAAAGAACCAGCAAAGCTAGCCGAATTATAGTCACCTTGCCGGGTCCATACGCGGAGTTGCTGCTGGCTAGCTTGCACCCTGCTCAGCTCTTGGCACGCTTTCTTTCTGCTGTCTCCCGCAGGGTATTTTGATGCAAAGGTAGCGTGGCGCGTGTCGAAGTGCCGCTTTACATTCGACCGTTTCAACGATGTAATTTTGTCATTGCAAATTAGACACACCGCAGAACCCGCTCTCTCCACAAAGGCGAATTCTTCGGTCCATTCGTCCTGAAATGTACGATACTCGTCGTCTTTTTTTCTTTTCGCCATCTTCTTCGTCGAAGGGTTAGCTTTGAGCTAATGACCGAGCAGACGCAGTCTCAGACTGATTCAAAAGGGGGCGTTTACCTGTTTTACCCAGCAACGGCAAACGTAGGCCAGTATCATCCAATTAAAATAATGGACAATTGCTCCTGCAGCCCTGAACAGGACATGCGCAGTGAAAAATCGATGGATGGATTAAAACAAGTGAGAATATTTTGTTTTATCTGCGAGCCATATGCAATCATCAAAAGAGCCACATCTGGCTCGCGAGCCATAGGTTCCCGACCCCTGCTGTATACTGTGTGGTGTAATCTGCGTTTGTGTACTGTGTGTGTACTCGGTGTATACTGTGTGGTTTACTCTCTGTGTGTGTACTGACTGAGTGTGGTATACTAACAGTATATATTCAGTGTGTATTGTAGTTTTGTAGTGTTGTCGATTTAATTCTCTGATCCATAACTCTTTACTGGACATCTGAAACAAAGAGCTTCATAGCTCCATCCGGATTACTCCTTCAGTTGATAAATACAGATCCTCATATTGTCTATAACAGCGGCGCCAACCCGATTGGTCGCGTTAACCAGTAAACCCCAAGGAATCATAACCTGGCCAACAATTACGTGGCCTTGAGGGGGGTGGTGGCTTTGACGGCTTCTTCGTTCTGTGGCAGGGTCAGATTTCGGCCTCGGCTAAGTGAGCTACAGCTAAGTCAGCCTGGCATTCATTAACGACGGGGGCCCTCTTAAGCATGAACAAAACTTACAATCGTACACACGTTCTACTTTTTTTTACATAGCCCGTTGAAAAATAGAAATATCTTAGGGCCCCAGCATTGTCATAAATCGCCCATGCTTGGGGCTCTGCGTATCTCCACTTCACGGTAGCTACGTAGATGTTAGCTACCTCGCCCGGGGTACAGGAGGTCGTGGGTTCCATCCCGACCCTGACGATGCCTGCTGCTGTTTATTTGTAATTTTTGTCTCTCCCCGTGGTTGTCACTGCGTGGATTTTTCTCCGGGTTCTCCGGTTGTTCCCTCCCCTTCAGAATCAACGTGATACGTTTAGAGTATTTGGCTGCAGCTTTAAATCTCCACATAATGGTGATGATAATGAGCCACTTCGTTGAGCTATAATTTGTGGTGACCAGGTCGCTTCTGAAAAAGATCTACACAGCTCAGTGGACCTTACCTGGTAAAATTAACATAGATTAGTCTATATGTATCTCTGTATTTCTATGCATCTCTCTGGTGTCTCTATGGGTATCTGTTTACTGTATTTTAATTCCGATATGATGGGGCCTCTTAAGCTCGACGTAGCTTAGGGCCCCAGCATTTTCATAACCTGGCCCTGTTCCACGGTGACATCGATCAATTAATCAGTCTTTGTTTTACTTGCTAATCTCGCCCTCAAGCAGGCACCAGTGCAGATTTCCCCGCACCTCCATGTAGCATGGTTGGTTATTTACGGTGTGAAATAAGTTTAATAAACATGCATATAAACCTGTATGGTTCTCATTGCATATCTGTGCATCTCTATGAATCCCTAGGCATTTTGATCACTGTAAATTTGGATGTGATGATAAGCTACTTCTTTGAGCTATAATTTGTGGCCTGGTTGCTTCTAAAAAATAACTACATAGCTCGGTGAGCCTTACCTGTTGAAATAACGAAAAAATATAGTTTAGTTGAAATAATTTTTAAACGGGAAATGAAATAAATAAAGAAGCAGATACAGGGTAGACGAGTCTGACCAGGTGCGTCTTGCACAGAGCACGATTATTGAGCGCGATGCTCGACACGTTTTGGATGTCGCTATTGCAGATACGCAATTGCCCTTCGGAAGAACAAGTTTGATCTAAAGTTCAGCCATTCCGCAAACACCCTCGTGCTCAGCTGTTGTCAAGTCGCCCCACTTTTCCGGAGGACAGAACACAACGCAGAGATACACCTACTCAAAATTGTCTCCAAACTTTATGATTTTGTTGTTGTTGATGTCTATTTCGACCACCTGTCCCACCTCGTTAGGATTTGCGGGAGCAGAGGGACAGCAGACCGGATCGGCTCCACTCAGCATGGCAGCGGCGGCAGCAGCAGGTGGCCGGGACCGGGGCCTGGAGGAGGAGCTGACTTGCTCCATCTGCCTGCACCTCTACGTCGACCCCGTGCTGCTGGGCTGCCCACACACCTTCTGCAGAGAGTGCATCGTGAGCGTGTGGCGCGACGGTGCCTGCGCCTGCCCCGAGTGCCGCAGGGTCTTGCCCTTTGGCTCCAAGGAGGAGATGCGGAAGCAGCTCGAGAAAAACTTCAAGCTGGCCAGCATCGTGGACAGGTTCTGTTCCCGGGAAAATATAGTTAGTTGGTTAGTTGGTCGGTTAGTCCATTGGTTTAGTGAATTACATTTGTTGAGCCAGCTGGCTCGGATTGGGAAAAATTAGCCCACTTTTCACAAAGTCTCTGTCTATCTCTATGTGTCTCTATGTAACTCTGTGAGTCTCCCATGTGTCTATATGTATCTCTATGAGTCGCAATATAGCTCTATGAGTCTATGTATCCCTTTCTTATTCTTTTGTATGGCATTTTTGGGGACAGCAACAGATAACAAATTGATTTCTAGATTTGATATTGATTCGACTTCTCCAGGAGTAGCCGCATGTATTTGTTTCAGATCGCCATTGAATGATCTGATATGTTGCACGATCTGAGATCTTGGACCACAGTCACAAGTGTCCACATCTTCCACGGAGTGTCCGGATCTGATTCAAGGAGGACCAGATCTTCTTCGGTAGATGAGATCCTGTTTGGAGGATTTCAGGGTCGCTGATGATGGGTTTCTGCAAGATTTTGGTGTTTGTCCAGGTTTCCTCTCATCGTGCTTTGGTGGTCTTGTCATCATCATGTATGTTCCTTGCATATTGCCAGAAAAGTTTTCTGGATTTGAGCCTGTGTGGTGGGGTCATGGAGATGTCTTTGTTTATTGGGAGGTTTGGATTTACGATGGCCTTGCAGTACTCCGTCATAGATGCAGCATCGCGACAGAGCTGCGTAGGATCGATATTTGCGAGGACCGAAAGCCACTGCAACGGTGTGCTCTTTAGCATCCCTGAGATGATCCTCATGGATGCATTTACCTTTGTGTCCACCACCTTTGTGTGCACGCTTTTGTTCCAGGCTCAGGCACAATATCCTGCCGCAGAGAAGAATAGTGCTGTGGGGGCCGTCCGGAGGGTTGTTGCAATTTGCTCCCCATGTTGTTCCGGCCAGTTTATGAACGAGATTAACTCGCAATTTTGTTTTTACAGCAGTATTCTGCAGGTTTTGTGGAAGGTGAGGCTGCTGGCAAGAGTTACACGGAGGTATTTGATGTACTTGTCGTGCTGGACCTCTTCGCCACAGAAAGTGACGGCCAGTTTCTGGTCGGCGCTTGCATTGTTCAGGTGGAATAACGTTACAACAGTTTTCCTTGGGTTTGGGCGGAGCCTCCAGTACTTGAAGTACGTTTCAAGTTTCTTGAGGTCTTCGCACAGGTCATTTTGCACCTCAATTTTGAGTCGTTCTTTGGACGGCAAGTGCTAGGTCATCGGCGTAGCCAAATTTCCGGCCGACGGTGACAGGGAGGTCACTTATATCTATATGTTAAAAGTGCCACAGCAAGCACTGATCCTTGTGGGAGCCCGTTACTGAGGAAGTGGGCTCTGCTGACAGTGTTCTCTAGGTGGACACGGTATGGCCGGTTGGACAGTAGCGATGATAGAAGTCTGAGGGTTTGCTGGGATCTGATGACCTTAGACAGCTTTAGCATGAGGCCTTCCCACCATACTGTGTCATAGGCCAGTGATTGGTCGATGAAAGCGGCCCCTGTGATGTTTTTGCACTTGTAGCCAGCTTTAATGTGTGTGGTGAGTTACAACACTTGATAGCAAATGCTGTGGCCAGGGCTGAAGCCAGCCTGTTCAGTTGGTATAGTTTCCTCGAAGATCGGTCACATACAGGTCAGTAGCATCCTCTATAGAATTCTGTACACTGTAAAAAGCAGGGATATGGGGCAGAACTTATTTGGGTTTGTGGTTGATTTCCAGAATGGCAATGACCTTCATTTGTCGCCATTTTTGGGGAATTTGCCTAAGGAAATAATGTCTGAAAACAATCTGGCCAGCCAGTGGCATCCTTTTTGGCCAAGGTGTTTAAGGAACTCGGGATAAATCCCATTTAATCCTGTGGCCTTTCCTGATCTGGTGGCTTTTATGGCATCAATGACCTCTTCTTCATTGAAGGGGGATAACAAGGCTGTTGTCGGTGCACATTCCGCTATTAATTGGTGGAGTTTTCATTTCACTCGCTATCTTGTTTGCCGATCTGTAGAGATCTTTCCATTCAATAGCATCTGTGTGGCGATGGCATTGATGGGTACATTGGCGGTCTTGTTTCTTGGTGGTGGTGCCGCTCCTTGGTATCTCAGGAGGCACCAGGCTTTATGGCTTGAGTGCGTAAAATCTAATGACTGCATCGCTTCTGTCCACCTTTGGCTCCTGGATTCATTTAGGAAGTCCAGGAGAGCTTTTCCACACTCTGGGCTTCCTGACTCTGTTTTTCTGGAGCAGGAACTCGCTTTTTCCTTTCCAGCATGGAGTGTATTCTGCCCAGTAACTCCATGGAATTTGTGAGCGGGCTGCTTGAGGACAATCTTGGTGAAACGTTCATAGTTTTCTGACTTTGGTGGATTCTGATAGACAGTGCACACGATGGCTTCAATAAAAGGTTCCCAGTTGCACTTTCTTAAGTTGCATCATGGCACAGGGATGGACGTGATCATCAGAATTTTGACCCTGATATGCACCGAGCCTGGCCTGTGCTAACTGTTCGGGAATTGTCCAGAACCATTCTGGAAGCACACGGCAGTTCACCCGAACTTGAACACGACACAAAGCACAGGTAAAGGTTTGAATTCTTCCTCCATCGTGCGGAATGGATGGTGCCTTCATCTTTAGCGTCAAACAGAATGAACAGGTAACTAGTTGCTGCCCAGTCGATGACCTATTCATCGGCAAAAACCGCGGGATTGGTCACAGCAGGCAGCATGTTTGGGCTCCATGTGGTTCTTGGAGGTTTATATACATTTATCACAGATACATAATTGATTTTGACGATGATGATGGCTGTCAGTATGTTGTTTTCTGCGTTCATTGTGGTGAGGTCCTTGAAATGGAATTTCACGTGACGTTGGTAGTCCCTGCTTAGGATGGTGGTAGCTGGCTCTCGTCGTCGGCTGTACAGGAAATTATTGGAGCAGGAGCGTGTCGAACCATCTGGATTATGAGGAAACGTCCCAGCAAGTCGCACTTGGGCCTTGATAGGTGCCTCTACGTTTAGATGGCAAACACGTAGTGACGGCCCTATTCTGCGGTAAGTTTGGCCATGAAAAGTATCTTTGGTGTTGTAATCCTGATCAGGAGGGCCATTTTGGCATTCAATCGCTGGGATGATAACATTAGTTTGTGACAAGCACGTAACAGTGCAGACCATGGAAAGATTGCCATCTTCTCCACCTATATATCACATTTAGTCTCTATGTATCTCTTAGTCTCTGTATCTCTATAAATCTCCTATGTGTCCCTAATGAGTCTATATGTCTATGAGTCTATATGTATCTCATCTCTATGAGTCTGTTTAACACGTAGGCTTTCGCGCCCAATATCCTCCATAATACATGTTTTTTGGGTTAGATCACATAAATATATAAATGTGTCGTTAAACACGCCACCACCTGACACAGCCAATTTAGTAAGGTTTGTCACGTAGACAGAACATGCCAATTCGTTACTAGTACAGGACACAGCATTTACAAGTTGAGTACTCAGATTGTCAATGTTGTGGTTTTGCTCTCCAACACACCGGTGTGCTGTATTAGTAACAAATTGGCATGATATTTTTAATTGAGAAACCTTACTAATTGGCTGTGTCCGGTGGTGACGGGTTTAACAACATATTTATGTATTTACTCTATGAGTCTCTATGTATCTCTAAACATTTCTATGTATCCCTGTGAGTTTCTGTGTATGTTTATGAGTATCGAAATATCGTGATCTCTACGAATCTATACGTATCGCTACGTATCTCTATGAGTATGTATCTCTGTGGCTCTGAATCTCGATGTATCTCTATGAGTCTGTTTGTTCGTGTTACTCACCTTACATTAAAACTGACAGCATTTCAGAATAAGAGTTAAAATTAAACAACATTATTTCCTATGATATGTTAATTCGAAATAGTTATTTTCTCTCTCTCTCTGTATGGCACTCTGAAGCCCTATTTTTGGGTCTGCTGCGCCTTATAAATACGAAGAGTAATAATAAAGAGTGATCAAGGTAAAAGTAAGAAAACGGTTGCACCAAAGAAGAGAGACAACCTAATGATGCAGGCATTGATGGGAAGGAAACTGGCACTATTTGGACACAACAGAATGTTTTAAGTGTGGTGTTGTTGTTTGAGAAAAAATGAAAGGAACTGGAAAGAGTGAAGGACCAAAACAGAGAATGGCTTGACGACGTTATAAGAGATTGGTGCTAGAAAGATATGGTACTACTTGAATCATATTGGCACTACAAGACAGAGAAAAGTGGAAACTAATGACAATTTGCAGTGGCCACCTACTATGGGGGCTATCAGCCCATGGATCATAATGATAAATAATTACAAAAGGCATCAAGCTACAGAGGTAGTCTTGTGACATTGTTCGTGATTGTATAACATGTTGTGGATTTACAGAGCAGGCATGCTGCAACCGCATCTTAAGACGCTGCTGTGCAGAAACAGAGCGAGTACACAACCCACAACATGCTGTATACCATAACCGAGGTTTTTTTGGGTTAGATCACGTAAATATAAATGTGTCAGTAAACCTGCCACCACCCAAAACAGCCAATTAGTAAGGTTTGTCACGTAAACAAAACATGCCAATTCGTTACTAGTTCAGAACACCGGTGTGTTGGACAGTAATTCCACAACATTTACAACATACCATGTATGTATGTTGAACCTCTTTCATACCGTACATAGCCAACCATGCTAATTGGAGGTGACGGGGGAAGGACAACAAACTAAACTCAATAAAGGTCCCGGTCTCTGGAATTGTCATCTGGTTAAACAAAATATACTTGAAACGTGAAACTGTCTTTTGTCTTGCGAGTCCCTACTCATGTTTCGTGACAGTACAATACTAAACTAAACTCTTTTACATTTTACCAGATAAGGCCCACTGAGTTATATAGCTCTTTTTCAGAAGTGACCTGTCTATAACAAATGAATGCTCAACCAATTGGCTTATTATCACGTGGAAATTCATAACTCAAGTCAAATACTCTAAGCGCATGATTCTAAACGTGGAGTGGGAAAAATGGAGGACCGGGAGAAAAATCCATGAAATCACCATGGGAGAGGGAGGCAGACTCCAAATATACAGAAGCAGCCATTGTCAGGGTATGGGATCGAACACGACCTCCTGCATACCAGGCGAGGTACTTAACATCTCAGCACCGCGGTACCCCAGTGTTTATTATAAATGCAGAGGAAACAACTTGACAACAAGGGAAACATCCATAAGATCACAGGGAGAATGAACACCCACACTCTAAATGTATAGCAGATATCGGGGTCGGGATCGAACCCACGACCTCCTGTGCACCAGCCAAGGTAGTTAACATCTTGCCACCGTGGTGCCCCAATGTGGACAAGTGAGCTACAGGAGATCCGGCCACTATTCATGGTCGCTCAGTGAAGACGGTTTGTACCCATAGGTTCTCAAGTCTCAGCACGGAAGGGGAACGGCCGCTGAAGGAGCTCAACCCGAGCTTGGCACGAGTGAGGCTCCTGAATCTGGACCTCTGTGCTCAGCATGGCAAGGCACTCGCCATGTTCTGCCGGGAGCACGGTGCGTTTGTGTGCACTGACTGCGTCACGAGCGGTGCGCACCGGGGCCACAAGCTAATGTCAGCAGAGGAGGTTGGTCGGCAGGCAAAGGTGAGGTGCTCTGAGCGCGGCGACCGCGTGGTGATGGTGGTGGTTGTGGTGATGATGGTGGTTGTGGTGATGGTGGTGGTAGCGATGGTGATGGTGGTAGTGGTGGTGATGTTGGTGCCGGACGGTAAAGCTATGGTGAGCAGTGCCATGTAGGGAGGGCGAATTTACATTGGCCATTCCCCTCATCGCATTTGTAGCCACCACAGCATCCAAAGTGTGCTCTAGACAGGTGCGAGGGGCTGGTAACCCCTCCACCTTCAATTATCACTAATCCACGAAAAAAATATACAGCTAAGCTTGTGCCGGAGGCCCCGGGGGGATAGTCATCTATGATGTCTCCTGGCCAAACGACATTTGGCGGAGCCAGGAGATTGAATCCTTACCCTCGGGGTTACTCCAGAAAGAGCAAAAAGCCACTACGGGTGGCCACGTGGAATGTTCGAATGCTCACTGCGGAGGAGAGGCTGTCATTCCTCTGTCGGGAGCTCGACCAGTACCACCTGTATCTCTGGTATTCAGGAGGTCCGGTGGACCGGCTCTGGGTCCTGCCTACCATGAGGGGTAGACAGTCCTCTACTCGGGGCAGGAGACTGCCAAACAACAGGCAGTGGCTCTTCTTCTGAATAAAATAATGAAGGAGGTGTGGGAGCGTGGCGGTGAGGTGTGGGAAGCTGTAAGCCACAGGCTACTTTGGGCTCCCCTTCCTATAAACCAGAGGCGAGGAGTGGTGGTCGTGGTTACTTATGCCCCCACCGAAGATGAACATCAGTGGAGGGATGCAGGCAAGGCCGATGAGTCAGATGCCGTTTATGACCTCCAGTCACAAGTGGCCCCTCAGGATAGTCATCCTGTTGGGTGACTTTAATGCCCGAGTTGGTCATGATGCTGGCACCTGGTCTGAAGTGATGGGAAGGCATGGGCCGGATCAGCTCAATAACATCGGTAGGAGGCTGCTGGCTTTTGTGCAGCCCATGATCTTGTAATTACCAAGACGCTTCTCCGGCATCGGCACATCCACCCAACATCATGGATGCACACCAGGTCAAAGCAAGAACATCTGCTGGACTATATAGTGACAGAACAGTGGATGCAGACCCATATCCTTGGTACCAGGACCCACTGTGAAGCTGATCTGCCCACTGACCATCGACTTATCATCTGTAAGATGCCCCTGCAATTCTTCCACTCTGCTTTTGGGTGGGTACCCAGGACCCCATTCAAACACACAATGACCTGATCTGAGCTAGCTGATGAAAGTTGCAAGCGAGAATTTCATCATTGCTTGCAGCTGAGGTTGACCTCGTCCTGGACTCCTCATGATGCTGAGAGGAAATGGGTGAGATTTAGGACTGTGGCTCATGCAGCTGCAATGGCTGCTTTAGATACATGATCCAAACCTCCCAGAGACTCTTGTGCACAGAGAAGGTATTCAGGCTGGCTGATAAAAAGCACCAGGCCCACTCTCACCATCTATAGCATCCCACATCAGAGAATGAGGAGGCTTACCGCAGCTTTCACTCGGAGGTTCGGAGAGCCGTGAGGAGCTGCAAGGACGGGTGGTGGTCGCGGGTTGCTGAGGAGATGGAGTCTGCCTCAGTTGCTCGCGACCACAAATCACTCTAACGCCATCAAAAACGTCATTTGCAGTGCCACAACTATCACCATCATTAGGGGAAAGAACGGTGATCAAATCTCCGGCCCCCAGGAACAGGTTTTCAGATTTGCTGAACATTTCTGTGAGGTCTTGGGGGAGAGGAAATCCCTCAGCCTGGAAAACATAATGGGGCAAAGTGGGGATGACCCTGCTGAGGCTGCAGTGTCTTGAATATTGGAAGACGTAGTCACCCCCTGTGAGTGGCTGGCTGAGGTGCCATCTGTTAAAGAAGAACAGAAGGCAATCCAGAGTCTGAGACCGGGAAACGCACCAGGCAGAGATGATCTCCCAAGGAAAATGCTGAGGGAGGGTTGCGTTTGGGCATAGACTGCCCTACATGACATCATAATAACAAACGGGATCACTGGACAGGTTCCACAGGATTGGAAGGATGCCCTGGTGGTCCCTCTCTTTAAGAAGGAGGACCGCACAGACTGTAACAACTACAGGGGCATCTCACTCCTCTGTGGTGGGAAAGGTTCTGGCAAGGATTATTCAACATCGCCTTGCAAGTCACGCTGAGGAGAGACTTGCGGAGCCCCAATGTGGTTTCAAGGCCTATGATATCATTAAAAGGTTATGGCTCTGGGCTGTTCTTCGTGCTTTCAGGAATCCCTTAGTCTCTGCTCACAATCATTAAGGACCTTAATGATGGTGAGCGAGCCCCGGGTTAAACTATGTGGCCGGGAGTCGGAGCCATTCCCTTTTCACCTTGGGGTGCGACAGGGATGTCCTCTGGCTCCCACATTACTTAACATCTATTTCGACTATGTAGTTCGTGAAGTTTTCAGTAGCTGTACTGGAGGAATTTTCATTTGGTACAGATATAATGGGAGGCTGATCAATGCCTGGATGCGGTCAAGGGATGGCTCCCTATTGGTCAACCATGTTACGTATGCCGATGATCTGGTGATTGCTGCTCACTGAGAGGAGGAGTTGGAGGCACTGCTGCTGAACCTGGAGCGTGCAACTAAGAGGTGGGGCCTTACCATCAGTCCCACCTAAACTAAGCACCTGCCTAGGTATTTTGTACCATCAGATACTCCACCCCCACAACTCTCAATTGGTGATGGGGCAGTTGTGGAGATAGTGGAGTGTTTCCCATACCTGAACAGTGTGATCATGTCCGGCTCTGGTTTGACAGCAGAGGTCTTACTCCAGATCAGTCAAGCGGCATTAACTTTTCATCGGCTGCGTATCACTGTGGAAGCTACATGGTCTGTTGCTCCACACGAAGCTTTGGGTCTTCTCTGCCACTGTCATGCCCTCCCTTCTCTATGCTTGCAAAACGTGGACCCCCCTAATGAAACATCTTTGCCAGTTGGAAACATTTAAGCTGGCCTGCCTATGATCTATCCTGGGTTTAACAAGGTTGGATTGTGTAAGGAGCTCACAAATCTTTGAAAATTTTGGACAATGTCCCAGTGGTGAGCTCCTCCGGCAGGCAAGGCTGTGTTGGCTGGCCTAACCAAAAGCCGCCGCATGCCCTGTGCCGCTGGCGTGCAGGGGTCTGACTAGGAGCTTTGGATATGTTCGTACCTACTCCCGTCGCCACACCACTCAACGCCGCCAGACTTTTGTCCAGTTTTCCAGATGCTCGATTCACAGAGGCAAAAGTGGATACCTGCGCAAAGAGTATATTTAGAGTGCAGTTGAGGGTGCGTAAGTCCCAACAGCACTTCTTCACTGCAATAGGGTGGAATCCAGTGCAAAGGGAGAACCCAGGATGACTGGCCCTCTTCCACAGTTGCAGGAGGCTGCCGGAGCTCCAGTCTATCGGAGGACCGCCTTTCGCGCGCCACCAGCACGTTGCTTTAATCTCAGGGTGTGCTCCCCTAGCTTTTGTCTTCCCAGACTTCTCCAGAAGGCAGTGGGAACACGGCTATAGACACAAAGACAGATACAACATTTTTTTTATTGTAATAATGTTAATAAATACATAGGTTTGAAGAAATAAAGTAGTGGGACTTGCGTACCTGTGCTTAATTTGTGTTCAACGATTTAGCTTTAAAAACATCTGGCATGTCTCACACCCCCAGAAAGGGCATCTCGCACCCCCAGGGGGTGCGTGCACCCCAGGTTTAGAACCACTGGTGTAGTGTATAGCGTAGTGTATAGTGTAGCGTATATTCGTGTCATGAATAGTAGTGTAGTATATCATTATCACGATCCATGAGGCAAGATAGGCCGGAGTAGGTGCCCACTGCACTTTTCTTCACTTGTTGTTTCCACTTTCTCCTCTGTCTTGAAGTGCAAATATGGCTCAAGTTAGTGGCTACATCTTTCTGGCACCAATCCCCTGATGACGCTTTCTTCAAGCCATAATTTTCTGTGTTTGGTTTTCCTTTCTTTCTGGTTCCTTACATTTTTTCTGAACAACAACAACAACCCTTTTCATTTAATGGGTAAATATCGTGTATGATTTTAATCGTTTTGCTATAGGCTTTTTTGTTTGGTTTGTTTTCTTCTTCTTAAAACAGGAATCCCTATCGCGGTCACTCCAACAACTTATGACACATAATGGGAAAGTTGCAGCAAGATTGAATATACTGAAGAACACGGAAGCCAATGTAGAGGTGAGACCCAATAACACAATAACACAAATTCCCATGAAATGAAGATGATTGATGATACAAATAATCGATTTTATTACCCTTCCTGGCAATAATAATAATAATTATAGAGTAGGTGTTTACGATGTTCAAACAGCAAATAGACACCAATTATATAATTCACTGTGTAACAAAATTCGTTTTTTTGTTCCTGGGTTGTAAGTAAGCAAAGTTTGTGGGGAATAATAGCCATTTTATATACTTTTGAGGCATAAGCAATTAGAAAATAACACTACCCAGGAACAAAAATCGTGTTACATCGTGAATTATCACGACAAAGCATGATCAAGTCTGCACCAACCACAACATCACACTTGTGGTAAAACGTAAAAACAAACGTGCTTTGATAGTAACATACCCACTAGCTTTGAAACAGAAAAAAGGCAGTTATATTGGCCAACCCGAGCTATTGATACTTTGATATTTGCATTGTCATCGTGCTGTGTTCGCCTTTTGGCGTTATACTTTGGTATAACACCAGGACCCCTTTTTTTTACCAGTATCACTGATTGTCGTGCACCAATATCAGGATGATCACCTTGATACATCTGATGGTCATCTTGAAAAATCTTGATTCTGGTTGCAGGTCAATCAGTTCCAAGGAGAATGCCTACTTTATAATCAAAGCAGTTTTTTTTGCATATTTTACCACAAGCATGGTGTGTGGTTAATGCAGACTTGATTAGGCCTTGTAGTGATAGTCGCTGTCCATTTCGGTTTTTGGGTGCCCTCGTGGCTAGGAGATGTTATCTCCCATGCCTCGTATGCAGGAGGTTGTGGGTTCGATCCCGACCCTGACGATGCCTGCTGCTGTATCTTTTGAGTTTGGTTCTCTCTCTCGCTCTTCTCATGGTTGTGTGGATTTGTCTCCAGGTCCCCTCTTTTTTCCGTACACATTTAGAATCAATGTCGGGCATTTAGATTATTTGACTGCTGCTTTAAATTTCCACCTGATGATAATAAGCTATTTGGTTGAGCTATCAAAAAATATGTTTGAACATCTTAACACCTCGTATTCTTATCAGAAACAGTAAAGCCTATTCTTACGTAATTCTGTCCTTCCTCCACGAATTCCTTTGTTTAGATCAATACCTCACATGCTCATTTTCGTGCTGCCCTTTGATTCAACACATTAATACCGATTCCACTTAATGCCGATATCAAACCGGCCACCACCCGACATAGCCAATTAGTATGGTGGTTTGTCATGCCAATAAAACGTGCCAATTTGATATTTTTGATTTAAAGCTTTCGTGACTGCAGTAATTCATATTCTTAGTTTTTTCGGTAAAGTCACGTTGAAGAGAAACAACAAAATAACAAAATATATATAAAACAATAAAAAATTCTCACGACGTTTCGACCATAACTCAAACGGTCATCATCAGGTGTGTTGGTTTGCATGAATTTATTTTTTTAAAATATTTATTTTTAAACAGCGATTTGGCAGTTTGTCCAGGACTAGTCCATCTAGTCCTGGACAAACTGCCAAATCGCTGCGCGTGACGCCAACGTTTTTTATGGACTAGATGGACTAGTCCTGGACAAACTGCCAAATCGCTGCGCGTGACGCCAACGTTTTTTATAAATAAATAAATGTGCCGTTTAAAAATAAATTTATGCAAACCAACACACCTGATGATGACCGTTTGAGTTATGGTCGAAACGTCGTGAGAATTTTTTATTGTTTTATATATATTTTGTTATTTTGTTGTTTCTCTTCAACGTGACTTTATCGAAAAAACTAAGAATATGAATTTGATATTTGTTGGAGAGTAAAACCCCCCACAACATTTGCAATTCATATACTGATGTTTCGCCAGTAATTATAAACAACCAGCCATATCAGGTGACAGCCAGAATTGTGGAGAAATCCTCCTGTTTCGGTCTTAAATATATGAGAAATAAATGTGATGTCAATTGTGAACTAATCAGAAGAGAAGAGGGGGGGTTAATATATTAATATAAATTGCAATAGACATCTATTGGTTGGGTTTTTGCAAGCTGCCGTCATGCTGGTGTGGCGTGTTGCTGATGCTCCTACCAGCTAACTTTTGGCGAATTGAGCGGCAGCTCCGTCAATTGTTCTTTCTCGCACGCCACAGAATGTCCAATACCCCTTCGCCTCCGCCAACCCACACTCTCATCCACGTGGCGAACTTTGGACGAATGACAGCTCGCAACTCACGTGGGTCATGCTCATCCATGCAGCGGTGGTACTTGTAGCTAAAACTGTAATCTTTTCACGCGGAAAATTTTATACTCGTCCCATTTCAGGGAACGTCGGCAGCTTTTGACAAATCCATAGACGACGCTTTTAACACTGCAATCAAGTCCCTCGAGGAAGAAAGGGCCACACTCAAGCAGTTGGCGCATGCAGAGCAGAGTAAACTATTGGGCCTAATCCATGGCCAGATGGCGCCCCGAGAGAAGATGGTCGCTGAGATGGTGGCTGTCACCAAAGAGGTGCAGGCGGCTTTGCAGGAAACGAATCACGTGCGGGCTATCCAGGTACGTGGAGAACAGAGGGCACCAGTAGTGTGGAAATCGTCAATAGCACCTTCTGCTACTGCTGCTGCATTGGCTGAACGAATACAGTGTTAAAAGGTCGCGTTCATGACACACACACACACAAAGTGCCTGCCACGAATGAACCACACAATACTTTTGGTGATCTCGTCAAGGAGCTGTATACCACCATCATGCGAACTCCTGTCATCCTCGCAGCAGCAGCAGCGGCGGTTATTGGCTCAGCCGTCGAACAAAAGCGGTCAACTCTTCATTTCGTGGCATTTTCAAACACGCTGCTTCTGCGGCCATCTGGGAAAATGTTTTCTTCTGATATTAGGAAGCCACTGAGAGCTACGATGCACCTTTACATCATCTAGATTGACAAACCCATTTCTTTAGTTTAACACGTAGGCTTTTTTTGTTGAAAGAGAAACCCTATTTTTGACTTAAAACCATTAAATTTGTATTTCAATTTTTTAAGTAAAGTCTTAGGCTCGCAAACCAACTGACCTGGAAGAACTAAAACATGGTATTGTGAATGCTGAGTCATCATGCATGCCTACAGCTGTGTTTTAAAATGTTTATTTTTTTCTGAACGATGGGCAACATATACAAGTTTATTAATAATTCGAGCATATCTAATCAATACCATAACATTAAATAAACTAAAACGTAAATGTCTATTACTTGCAGAATTCATATTAAATTCATAACAGCATCTCGAATAACAATACAGATATTCTTGGTTCTTTCGGTAAATTCATGTAGTAGGGAAACAATTAAATAATAAAAATATAAAACAATAAATTCTCACGACATTTTGACTGTGACACAAGCAATCATCATCAGGTGTGAAAACCTTCTACGTGACTTTACCGAAAGAACCAAGAATATGAATCCCTGCAGTCACGAAAGCTTTAAATCAAGACAATACAGATATTCAACTTTTTTTTGGTGTAGTATTCATTTTGGTACACTCCGTATATCAACATGAGATGAGGTTACCCTGAGATGGTGACCAGCTTACCAATGGATGTCTCACGCGTGCACCCCTGTCCCTCTGTCGCAGGTGAGCGGTGAGTTGGAGAGAAGGTAGGTCGGACACCTTCACGTCACTCCACCGCCACTCAACTCCCCAATCCCAGTTTAATTGAACATTCAAGATCCATGTTTTACTGGTACCACGATGGTGAATAAATAATATGCTCACTTTACCCTTCCCCGCAATGATAACACCGGAGTTGTATTAATATGTCGAGACACCTACGATCACAAGGCCATCATCAAGTTGTGTTCACCTGCACATCATACTTGTAGTGAAATGTGCAAACACACTTCCATCATAATAATGTACGCATTGTCCTCGGAACTGATTGGCCTACACCAGAGCTACAGTCTCCTTTATGGCCTTGTCATGAAGGAAGCTGTATTATTGCCATACTTTTATTTATCATCATCATGATAGTACCGACCCTGACGCCTGCTGCTGCATATTAGGAGTCTGCATGTCTCTCTCTGTCCTGGTGGTTGCGTGGATTTTTTCTCCGGGTTTTCCCTCCACATTTAGAAACATGCATCTAGACTATTTAGATTTTTTTTTTTGCTGCTGTAACCGTCAAATTTCTAAGCCACTTTGTTGAGTTATCATGTGTGTCCAGGTAGCTTTAAAAAAAAGTTATTACCTCAGTGGGCTTTGCCTGGTAAAATCGGGTTGGTTTTGTTTTATTTGTATGTGTTTGGGTCATTTGTTTTTTACCTTTCTTGTACTTTTCACTGCGATCATGTTTTTTTGTATTGTCTGTTTTAACGTTGTTACCCGTGCCTACTGGACATCTGTGAAAAAGAGCTTTATACCTCATCGGATTCCTCCAGGAGGCTGTTGCTCTGGTGCAGGCCAATCAATTTTGAAGACAATGCATACATTATTATTATCAGTGAACGTTTGTTTTCATGTTTTACAACACGCGTGATGTGTGGTTCACGCAGACGTGATGATGCCTTGCAATAAGGGGTGTGTCTATTTAGTGTTTGAACATCTTAACACAACTCCTGTATTATGATTCTTATTCTTACCGGGAAGGGTATTGCAAGCCTATTCTTTGTAATCATCTTGATACTGGCCAACAAAGGTTTTCCCATAGATCCACGATATAATCTTATTCCTTATTTGTTTATTCCACGTTCAGGATAACGGCCGTGATGATGAAGAACCCGCCAAATGACAACATCGTGACTAGAGACCTATTTTCATCCTTGCATGGCCTGCTGCAGAGTCTCTCCCCCAGAATCTCCAATTGGAAGACAGAAAACGCGATGCTCAGAAGTAAGTTTGTGTGCGTGCGTGCGGTGGCACAGTGGTTAACGAGTGGCTGCGTTGCGAACCAGGCGACCCAAGTTCAATTCCCGCTCATGGCGCACCAACACCAGTGATGATTATATGAACCGGTCCTGGGCCCCCAGCCCCCACCCCAGCTCAACTCATCCTCAAATGAGTACCTGGTGTGGTGTGTAGTATACATCGCCACTGGGGAGACAAATGTGCCCAGGTCTGGTGATAGCCAACCACCCCCTCAGCGCTGCTCGATAACAACACTTGCCCCTGCAGACTGCTACAGGCTATACAGGGGATATTTTTTATTTGGCATCAAAGTTGTGAAATAGAGAACACACTTAATAATAATATAATGAATAATAATTTACATTTGTAAAGTTCTGCATTTAATCCGTAGATCAACCAATGCGCCCCTGTGTATGGAAAGCCAGGAAATAAACAGAACCTGCAGAGGGCAAAAGGCCATAACTAGGCAGATGGTAAAGGCCAATTTACCCATTCACTCACCCACCTCACTCACTCACCCACCCACCCACTCACCCACCCACTCGCTCACCACACCTCACTCACTCACCCACTCATTTACTCACTCACCCACCCACACACTCACTTACCCACCCACTCGTTCACCTACCCACCCACTCACTCACCCACTCATTCACTCACCCACTAAATTACTCACTCACCCACTCACCGAATCACTCACCCACCGTTCCTGTTATCTATTTTGATAACGATGAAAACGCTAATAAGTGGTACATCTGATGATCGAATCTAATTAAACACGTATATTTATATAGCCCTTCACTCCAGGCGCTTGATGAACATGGCTTACAACACGGTGACACAGAATGGAATCGTGTAGTAGCGGGCTACCAGGTGGTTCTACTCAGGGGATCACGAAAGGGACTACAGGGGAGGGAAGGAGTAGAGGGGTGAGGAGGAGGGAAGAGGACGAGAATGGATAATGGAGAAGAGGTGTTGAGGCTCTAACCACCCTCCTGCTATCCGGAGGCTCACTGCCATGTGGGGGAAGTGGGATGCCCAGATCGCGTGCTGACTGAACACGACAGGTGCAAGCAGCTATTCCGCAAATGGAAATATATAAATGAAGGGAGTTACCAAATGCGTCAAACACGAATCTCACATTAATGTCACTACGTCTGTGTGACCACGCCATCCAAAAACAAAGGAAAGCTTCTGCCGCCTATGAATTCAGAGTTTGGGAACGAATGACTGCGACGACGTGAAGAGGCGCAAGAGAACGGGCGGCAGCGGTCCAGGCGAGCTACAGGAGGGAGAGGGGTGTTCCGTCAGCACGCAAACGACCTGCTGTGAAACACACCGAATCACAAGCGGGGGGTGGGGGGGGGACGCTGGTAGACAACTTGAATGGACACTCGAATGGGGCGCAAATGAGCGTGGAGAGGTCGCATGCATAGAATTGCACTGAGAGACAGAAAGGGTGCCGTACGCATTACAGAGAAAAAATGCAAAGGTTAGTGGCATCATCTTGACTTGGCAGGGAAACTTTTAGGGGGTTTGGGCTTTGGGCAGTTTACGTCGACTAGCAGGACCGATGGGTGATGTTGCAGACGAAGAGACAGAATGGCAGCCCAAGGTGGAAATGCACCTAAAAGGACACTCTCGCATGGAGATAGAGTGATAAGTTATCAGTTTGTGTGATGAAAAAAATTATATGCTTTATTACCCTTTCTGTAAAAAAAGAATAATACTACAGGAGGTGTTAAGATGTTCAAACACCAAATAGACACACCTTTTGCAAGGAATCATCAAGTCTGCATGACTCACACATCCTGTTGGTGGTAAAACATGCAAACAAACACGCTTTGATGATGTACACGCTGTCCTTGTGTATATAGTTAAGAGACAACCCAACGGTTATGTTTTTTGGCGATCGCACTCTTCGTACACCCCCCGAGTACCCGGTGTAACCACGGGCAGGTGAAACCTCTACTTAAACCCAAGATCTGAACGGTGGCAGCGCAGCTGTTTGGGATTCTCCAGCACCGTTGTTTGTCATTGTATCAACAACAGCAGAAGCAGTCCACCAGCTAAGGGAGCCGATGACTAACCGCTGTCCTTTCCGTGTGCGTTCTATGACCGAGAAGATTTCAGGAGTCCAACCCTTGATGAAGATACGCTGCACTACCAACTGGACGCCGACGACTGTGGCAAGGCCCCGAGCCTGTCTCGGCCCCTCAGGAGGCGTCGGGACGTGACGGAGGGCTGTGAGGCGTTCTCCTACTGGAGGCAAGCGCTGTGCGAGGAGGGCTACACCTCCGGGTTGCACTACTGGGAGGTGGACGTCAGCGAGTGCGTCGAGTGGTGTGTGGGCGTCTGCTATGGGTCGATGGAGCGGAGCGGCAATACCAGCGATGCGGAGCTGGGTGAAAATGCCGAGTCGTGGTGCATCAAATACAGAGACGATGATGACGACGACGACGATGGAAATCTGAGTGCCTTTCACGATGCAGAGCAAACCGACATTGAATTCAGCTGCGATGGTGGCCGTAGAGGCTGGCACATCGACAGGGTGGGCATTCTGCTGGACTGTGACATGGACCGACTGTCATTCTATGATGTTTCACAGGCACGGGTCCACTTGCACACCTACTACGTTGTGCAATACGATGGTCCACTCTTCCCTGCGTTCAAAGTCCTAGACGACAGCATCACAATAGCCACGTGTCCACGCTCCTGCGCAGGCCTCTGCTAGGATTCTCAGAAGAGGTGACGTGGACCCAGCATCAGAGCGCTCTGTGAGCATTGCTGTGTAGGTTAGCCGTTCTGGCACTGTTGCTCCCCCGGTTGATTACTGTCATAGATGTGCACTGTTCACGTCACCTTTGAGATAGATTTCTATAGACTCGCATAACTATCCACAGACTTAGTTCAACACAAATAGACTCAAATATCGACCTATTGATACCCACAGATTCAAATAGATACGCATAGACTCACATATATACTTATAGACTTGTATACATACCCACAGATTCACGTACAAATCTACAGACTAATATAGATAACCAGATATTTAGATGAACCCATATACTCACATAGATACCCACAGAATCACATATAAATTAATAGACTCAAATATAGACCCATATTCTCGCATAAATAACCACAGGTTCATGTAGAAATCAATAGACATACATAGATACCGATATATTCATATAGATACCCATAGACTCGCATAGATACCCATATACTCACATAGAAAACAATATAAACTCATGGCGTCATACAGAGCCTCATATATCTACGTGGGAAGTTGTGCTTATATGGTTGGAATCTCGGTTCCCAGGGACAATTATATTACGTGTGTTTGTGGACTTAATGGAATGTTTCGTTGTGGATGAGAGGCTCCCTCTCCTCTGTCATGAAATGGACCAGTACTGCCTGGACCTCTGAAATACAGGAGATCCGGTGAACCGGTTCTGGCTTCAATAATTTTGAGGGGAAGACAGCTCTCCACTCAGCATAGGAAACTGCCAAACAACAGGGATTGCCACTTCTTTTGAACAAAAGAATGAAGGGGGTGTGGGAGCGTGGCGGTGATGTCTAAGAAGCTGTAAGTTACAGTGTTGTATATATAGGCCTTTTTCCAAAATTGATATTAAGAATGATTTTGCCAATATATATTTTTTAATCATTCGTGGTGTCGCTTGGGGGCCAAAGGGGGTGAGATAAACCCCCCCTCCCCTCACAGCAGCTGCCTCTCACACTGGAACCAGGCAGCCGGATATAAGCCATAAAATATAATAAAACCCAAAACAAAGCGGGGGAATTACTAATGAGACACGCTGGAAATATACGTAGCCTCAAAGGCCCCCGTTTTAAGAGCACAGACAACCAGGCGCCATGAAGGAACAGGCAAATTCTACAATAATTTGCATTTTCGTTTCTCTTAATACAACGGTTAATGTTCAGAACTTAGCGACAAAATGAGTCGACATAGACTGCCAACACAATCACTCCGATTAAAAACCAGACTACAGTCTACATAGTGGATTATTACTTCTCATACATATTTTAATACTAATGTTAATACTAATGTTATTCACCTTAAATTCTATTACCTTTTGCCATCTACGTGACTTTACAAAAACCAAGGGATATCAATTCCAGCAGTCAAGAAGCTTAACTGAAACTTAGCTATACCTCTAACCTTAGGACATCAAAATATAACTCGAGTTTAACAGCACAGATCCCTGGATACAGACGGGGGAACAAACGTTAATAAACCCTATGAACACACGTGAAATGACGATGTTAAATCACGAATCGTGGAAAACATAAACCAAATAATGATTATAAAGAGTTAAGCCAGGGGTCATCCAGGGGAGATGGGGCGAGGTGGGTCGATCACGTGACCAAGAGAAAAGGATTCCATAGATGAAGCCTCCCGGCCGCCTTGTCTCCTAGCAGCATGGGGTAGCAATAAAACCACAAAGGGAGAGACCACGACCCCCATTGAGATAGACAAAGGTGACACCCGACCGCGAAGGAAGGAGCCAGGCCTTGAGGAAACAACTTATCACCCCAATAAGTAGAACAAACACATACATACCCAAACGAGGGATGACAAAAACTCAGCAACAAGAATAAGCAAACATTAATGACTGCCAAAACACTCACTCCGATTAAAAACCAGACTAAAATCTACATAGTGGGTTATTACTTCTCATACATATTAATACTAATGTTATTCTTGGTTCTTTCGGTAAAGTCACGTAGAAGGGAAACAATAACATAATAAAACTGTATGTCCGGAATCCCTGGCGTCTACAAACTAAGTTGCCTCTGTGGTAGTAGTTACATTGGAGAAACCAAACGACATGTCTCAGACTGCATTCGTGAACACAAAGCAGACCTAAAACACGGTAGGACCAACACCGCAGCCGTGGTAGATCACTGTTATAATTCAGTAGGCTCACATGACATTGACTTCTCCAAGACAGAGGTTCTTTGCAAGCCATCTGGCTACCATGAGAGATTTGTTCATGAGGCTATCCACATATACAAACAAAGAGATAATTTCAACCGAGAAGATGGATTCTGGCTTAGCAATCATTGGAAGGATTTGATAAACCATTTCGGATCTTAATTGATTGTTCACGCTTATGGTGGCTTTCAGACCGCATCCATTATTTTCGTCTCCCCCCTCTTTTCCGAACATAGATGGACTCGTCCATCTGAACAAACTGTCAAATTGCTCTCCGTGGTGCTAACGTTAAAAAAACGCCACTTTTTTCAATTATTTTTCTTGTGGTTTTCACACTTGATGATGGTTGCTTGTGTTGCAATCGAAACGTCGTGAGATTTTGTTTTATATTTGTATTATTTTATTGTTTCCCTTCTACGTGACTTTACCGAAAGAACCAAGAATATGAATCCCTGCATTCACGAAAGCTTTAAATCAAAATACTAATGTAATTCACATTAAATTCTATTACATATTGCCGTCTACGTGACTTTACAAAAAACAAGGAATATGAATTCCAGCAGTCAAGAAGCTTAACTGAAACTTAGTTATACTTATGAACCTCAGGACATCAAAATATAACTCGAGTATAACAGCACAGATCCCTGGATACAGACGGGGGAACGGAAATTAATAAAACCCTAGGAACATACGTGGTGATACAATCTTAAAACACGAATCGTGGAAAACATAAACCCAATAATAATTATGAAGAGTTAAGCCGGGGGTCATCCAGGAGAGATGGGGCGAGGGGAGTCGATCACGTGACCAAGATAAATGTATTCCATAGACGAAGAGTCTCCCAACCACCTTTGTCTTCCAGCAGCACATGATAGAATTGCATACGCAGGCAGAGGGCATCTCTTATAAATAAAAAATCAAATGCCACGATGGAAGCACTGTAAACACTGCCACAAACATACCTTGAGTCACGTACAGAATCATAACTATAAAGTGGTACGGTATCAAGCTATAGGAGGTCAAATAAAATGTTTAACTTCAAAAGCCTCAACACACCCCTTTGTGAGAGGGAAAAGAATGTCACACCGGGAGGGAAGACAAACGGGGGGGGGGGAACTCCACCAGACAGGGGAACCCCCCCTCCTTCCAGATTAATTATTGCAGAGGGTGGAGAAGAAGGACGCACTCGGGAGCAATCTGGAGCATCTGTTTCCCTTTGATGGGGGGATAGCTGAGGAGGGGGACAAGAATCAAGCCAGGGTGAGACTTAACAGATGGCTTAATAAATGAGAACACACACACATGGACACACGTACAATCCTACCCCCCCCCCCCCCCGCAGCATAGAGTGAAATCAAAGGAAGTTCCGGTCCTTTGTGAGAAGGCGAGCCAGAGGAAGAAATTTTTGCATAAAAAACAGATACGAGCCATACATCGCTATCACAGCTACCAGTGGCAGAAGACGGCGATCAACTACAGAAGATGACCAACCACAGAAGATAACAGCCAGCCACCGAGGGCGATCAGTCACCGAAGAGTTATGTGACGGCGGGAAACGTCAAGCAATCAACGTCGAAAAAGGGCGGAAAGCACCAGGCATCGACCAAGCCAGCATCGCAGAGAACCAGCTGCACGCGCAATCGACACTGCCAGAGAGACGGAGCAGGAGAGAGCACGCCGCAGCGTCACCAGCGCCACCAAGCAAGGGTGTCAGCTGCCAGCGGACGAGCTGCGGGTGCTACCTGACGACAGGATCATCGCGCACCGATGGCGAGTGTCGTGCCAACTCTTCTACCCAGCTGTGGACAGAACTACTGTAGACCTGAGGAAGAGGGAGAGCCAAGCTGCCCGTATGATACACACACACCCACACATTACAACGCAAAGAATTGATCAAGAAGACAAACCAACCACACATAACATATACCCGGACTAATAGTAAGAAGACTCATGATAAGTGCGTCAAGTATCAACTGATAACGAAGAACACGGCTGCCATTGGGTTACGGGGAAACGGTCACTTAGAAGTATTTTAGTAGTTATTTTTCTTTTGATTTGCATAAATATTATCAATGAATTCATCGATGAAAACTAAACGTTTAGAAACCTAAGTTACGAATCTACACACTCACAGGGAGAATATTGTGTTGCAATCTTTCTTTTGAGCACATAATCTGCCCGCGAATTTATTGAAGCCTTAGCCAATTGATAAGTATTTGCTGGAGCAGGCATACTGAGGCACACCATTGTTCCAAATATTTCGTTAATTATGTAATCTTCCCCGTGAATTCATTGCCGTATATGTTTTGCCTTTGGGACATGTTTCTTTATTGCCTTCCTATGAATATTGTTGCATGAAATTTTTTAAAGGACTTTTTCCTCTCACCGTGTATGCTCGCTAACAGTACAATCGAGGAATAATCGATTGTACTGTTACCCAGTTAACAAACTTGATCATTGAGGGTTAAATGTATGGATCAAATGAAGAGAACATCTCCAGGAGTAGTGTTGACAATTCCAAGCATAAGAGTTCACATATTAGAGGGTTAAGGTTTTGTTTAGAAATTAAAATTGCTTAACACAGAAGTGTCTGCGTGGTGCCTTCCTAAGGTCATGCATAATAATCTTAATTGTAAGAACTGTATCCTGCAGTGAGATTTGAATTTGGAGACCTGACATAAAAACACTAAGACATAATCAGTAAATGTTAAGCGAGTATAATTGTATTATACAGATTGATAATACGAACCTAGACAACGAAGCCAAGCATAATCTCGCATACTTACAGCACACCAGAAAAACTGCATACAATTAATTGTATGATCCCGATTGATAATACTACCCTCGGCAACGAGGCAGGGCATAATGATCATAACGGTGTGCATTAGCATAATCGTAAACTTAATACGATGATACATTCTTAATTAGCATTATTTATGCACATAATTACATAAATTAGCATAAATTCAGATAATTACACATTTCCCCAACTTCATTTTTATTTTTTTATTTAAAGCTTTCGTGACTGCAGTAATTCATATTCTTAGTTTTTTCGGTAAAGTCACATTGAAGGGAAACAACAAAATAATAAAATATATATAAAACAATAAAAAATTCTCACGACGTTTCGACCATAACTCAAACGGTCGTCTTCAGCTGTGTTGGTTTGCATAAATTTATTTTTAAACGGCGCATTTATTTAATTATAAAAACGTTAGCGCCACGTGCAACGATTTGGCAGTTTATTTAGAACTAGTCCATCTATATTCTGAAAAGAGGAGGGAGGAGACGAAATTTTGTATAATGTATGCTGTCTGAAAGCCACTGTAAGCGTGAACAATCAATTAAGACCTGAAATGGTTTATCAAATCTTTCCAATGATTGCTAAGATAGAATCCATCTTCTCGGTTGAAATTGTCTCTGTGCTTGTATATGTGGATAGCCTCATGAACGAATCTCTCATGGAAGCCAGATGGCTTACAAAGAACCTCTGTCTTGGAAAAGTCAATGGCATGTGAGCCTACTGAATTAGAACAATGATCTGCTACGGCCGAGGTGTTGGTCCTACCGTGTTTAAGGTCTGCTTTGTGTTCACGAATGCGGTCCAAGACATGGCGTTTGGTTTCTCCAATGTAACTACTACCACAGAGGCAACTTAGTTTGTAGACACCAGGGTATTGTATGTCCGAAATCACATCTTTTACAGACGGAACCAGATCACGGATTTTATGTAATGTGTTGAAACGGACCTGGATCTTGTGTTTATTCAAGATTTTGGAGATCTTTTTTATTTTTGGATTATTTTCAAATTTTAAAGACCCGGCATATACAACAACAGGCTACTGTGGACTCTCCTCCCTGTCAACAAGAGGTGAGAAATGGTAATGGTTACTTATGCCCCCACCAAAAATGAGCATCAGTAGAGAGATGCAGACAAGGCCGATGAGTCAGATGCCTTCTAAAATCTCCTGTCCCAGGTGCTAGCTAAATTTCCCCCTCAGGATGGAGTCTTCCTGTTGGGTGACTTTAATGCCCGAGTGGGTCATGATGCAGACACCTAGATTTGAGTGATCGGAAGGCATGGGCCAGATCAGCTCAATATTAACACTAAGAGGCTGCTAGACATCTCCGCAGCCGATGGGCTTGTAATTACCAACACCCTGTTCTGGAATCGGCGCATCCACACAACATTATAGATGCACGCCGGGTCCAAGCAAGAACATCTGCTGGACTATATAGGGGCTACCGTGGAGCTGATCTGCCCACTGACCATTGGTTTCTCATCTGTAAGATGTGCCTGCCAGTCACACAGTGGCCTGGTATCAGCTAGCTGAGGATAGTTGCAAGTGGCAATTTCAACATCGCTTGCAGCTGGGGTTGGCAGCATCCCCCATCCTGATGCGGAGGGGAAATGGGTGAGGTTCATGACTGTGGCTCATGCAGCTGCAATAGCTGCATTGGGTATGCAGTCAACATCTCCCCAGAGACCCCAGCTTAAGAAGGAAGTGTTCCAGCTGGTTGAGAGAAAACGACAGGCTGACTCCCGTTGTCTACAACATCCAATATCAGAGAATGAGGAGGCTTACCGCAGCCTTAGCTCGGAGATTTGAAGAG